AATTATATATATAACTTTTACTCTGGAGACTTCTAATGACACCGGAAGTTCTCCGAAGATTTACACACAAAGATCTTTAAAGATCTTTACCTAAAAAATTTCCTGATAAAGCAATATGAAGTTAATATTGATTCTCTTTTTCTGACTGTGAATTAGTTTACAAGTCTCTTTTCTTTCTTCTAAAAATTTTTAAGAAAAAGAAATAAAAGAAAATTAGTAAAACAATGTATACTTCTTTCTTTTATATTTTTGAATAGTTTGTTATATATGTGTTAAAAGAGCTTGATAGCTTGATTTGAAGAATATATTGTTTTTTTTTGTGTATTAACAAGTATACCTTTTTCAAAAAAATTGTCAAAAAGAATTTTTTTTTTGAAAAAGAAGGATTAATAGAAAGAGTTATTTAATTCATTTTTATAAATATATATATAAGTAATAATAATTAATTAAAGATAGAATAAGTTTATAAAAATAATTTTATTTGTATTTTAAAAAATTGAATATATTTTTTTAATATTAGAATCAAAAAAAAAAAATTTTTTTTTAATTTATTAATAAATTTAATATCTTTTTTTAATATTAAAACTAAAAAAATTGGATATTTTTTTTTTTTTGATTTATTAATAAACTTAATTTAGATTTTGATAAAATCATATTTCTTATAAAATACTATATAAAGTAATTTTAAATGAGTTTATTTTTAATTATTTTTTGATATAATAAACTATTTCTGAAAATTTTTTTTTGAGAACTATACTTTTAAAAGCAATTTTATTTGAATATATTAGATAAATATAAATTGATTACAATATAATATTAATTAAAAATTTTTTTATATTAGTTGAATATATCATATGTTATAATTAATAAAAACTTGTTTAAAAATAAGTACTTGTAAAAGAGAAAAAATAGTAAATAAAAAATTTTTCAAGGTTTAAACTTTTGTTTGCTTGTTTTTTAGTTGCAAAAAATTTATATAACATATTTTACTTTAAAAAAGAAGATTTTTAATATTATATTATTGATTTTTTTTCTTTTAAAATTTTTTGTGAGTAAAAAAGATATTTCTTAACTTTTTTGATTATTAAAATTCAAGTATTTGTGTAAAAACATAAATAAAAAAAGATAAATAAAAATTATTTTTCAAGTTGATTTAAAAAAAGTAGTAAAACTTAATTAGCAAAGAAGTAAAAATCTTTTGTAAATAAATTTTTTTTGTATATTATTAGAGAATCAATAAAAAGAACTATAACTAAGTATTAACTATTATTCAATATTTTTCTAGGATTTGCTTAATTATAACTTTGTCATATTTTAGATTTATTAATTGATTTTATATTTGTAATAATTTTTAAACAATATCGTAATACAAAATATTTTTATAAAAAAATAAAATAATTGTTTGAAAACTTTATTACTATTAAAATACTTAAGTCTTAAAGATTTGAAAAGAAATTCTAGGTTATTCGATTTAACTTTTTAATAAATATTCTTGATAATTCAAAAAATATATTAAAACTAAAAATTACATAAAGATTAAAATATTTTTTATAATAAACAATTATAAACGATTGGCAAGAATAGATTTTATTATATTATCAAAATGTTTATATATTACAGCATAAAATTTATCGACCTTTATACACTGGTGGTCTCTTGTCTCTGAATGCTTTTAAACCTACATATTAATGATAAAATACATAAGATTTATTGTTATTTTGTTATTTTAAATAAATTATCTCACCTTCAGTTCTATCTTCAGTGGGAATAACTTGTGCATAACAAGCATTTTCAAATTCCAATGCTGAATCCCTGATAGATAAAAAAAATGTAAGGATCTCGCAGAAACAGATTTTGTAGTAAAAAAAACTTTAACATACAAATCAAGCTGACTGCCACGATCAATTGCCCATTTAGCCATGCGAAGAGCAATAGGACCTATTTAATTATTATTATTATATAATTGTATAATGTATTATAAAAGAATGAAAACCTAAATACCACATGAAAGAATTTCCCTTGCTAATTTAAGTGCTATAGGATGAGAGGACCCTTCTTTTGCAATATAATTAACGATTCCTTTAAACCAAAAATTTACTCGCTAAGTTTATTAGTTCAAGCGTAAAATAATTTACTCAATATTCGCAAATACAAACCGAGGTCTAAGGCACTTTGAGAGTCCAATAGTCGACCTGTAAAAATCAGTTCTTTCGCTTTTGCGACCCCAACAATTCGTGTTAGTCGTTGCGTACCTCCAGCACTAATCCAAGATGTAAATTAATTACAAATAAACATTGCTTTAAAAAGAAAAATGTTCCTAACCTCATATTTACCCGGGAATAATCGCAAGCTTCGTTTCAGGAAGTCCAATTTTTGCATATTCGCCTAGACGTGATTAAAATAAGTTATCAAGAGCCTACTTAATAAGTATAGCATAGAGCTTTAAGGTAATCACCGGAGACTCTTATATCGCAACATAATGCTAATTCAAGACCTCCTCCCACAGCAACACCGTCAATAACAGCAATCGTTGGAACCGGAAGGGTCTTAGAACAAATGTTCGAATTTCAAAACCTGAGCAACTGCTTCACATTACCACATGAATGTCTCAGCAGCATTAAATATTCCCATAAAATCATCACCCTTCATGTATACTAACTTCAAGGTCTCGAAAAGCTCTTCGGAGGTTATTGATGAATTCCTTCACTTCTTCAGGAGACATGGTGGCACGTTCCTTTTAAAAGACAAACCTTAGATGTGTTGTACATTTAGAATTTCAAATTCTTCATACCTTTAAATCTGCACCAGAGCAAAATGCACGATCCACCAAGCTTCTCAATAAAACGACACGTGATTCTCTAAAAACAAGATTTTAATTAAAAAAGCCAGACAGACATATTTATGTCTAAATTGATTATCCTTACGTTGAATTTCTTAATCTTTCCACAGCATCCTCAAATTCTGCCAATAAATTTTTCGACAAAGCATTCTTAGTGTTTGGGCGGTTTAGGTTAATGATGGAAATGCCTATATAAAATTTAGTTGATTTTCAGTGGATATTTTAAAATACTTCATTTCCAATGGATAGATACCTTTATCATCTCCTTCCAAATTTTCGATAAAGCATTCCTTATCACTTGTATGAAGAATTCTTCTAGAATGGGTTAGAAGAACGCGTTTAGCAATTGGCTTTGCACGGAGACCAAGTGATAATAGCATTTTTTTTAAAAAAAAATTGAGATGTGTACGGATTTATGTATAAATCACATGATACTAAATTACGATTGTGGTTGATTTGTGGCTTGCCTACAAAATATTTCTAAAGAATGATATCAAGAAAGTTAATGGTAAATTTGGTTGTATTACCATTTAATCTTAACGTTTGCAGCCGACATGACTTTCAAAATGTATTGTTTCACTTCTCGCTTAGCGATCTGCAACTAGTTTGACCGGATATTCAAAATTTCCGGAAGTAACGTTTTCCGGCATACAACCAACTGGTATTCCGCATATTGGAAATTTCCTTGGAGCTCTTTCAAATTGGGTTTCTCCTCAGCAAACAACTTCAATCACCAAAACTGCGTTGTATACCATAGTTGATTTACATGCTCTTACAGTCCCACAAGATCCAACTCAATTAAGAAAGAATAAAGTGGATATGACAATTTCACTGTTAGCATGTGGACTTGACCCAGCAACGTGTGTAATATTTGAACAATCAAAGGTATTAAAATTAGTTTAAAACCCATATCATTCTTCTTGAAGAAATTAGAGTGTTGACATATTTGGTTGATTTAGGTACCAGCACATTCCGAATGTGCATGGATTCTAAACTGTATTACGCCAATAGGATGGTTGTCTAGGATGACACAATGGAAGGTTAATGTCTACATTATATATGACTGTTATTATGGACATAGACATATCTTCTTTTTACTCAATTCCTGTTCCTTCTCCAGGCAAAAAGCCAAAAAAAGAATGTTCAATCCATTGAAGATGCAGATACATCATCTGGATTATGCCTTGGACTGCTTGCATATCCCGTTTTACAAGCTGCTGATATTTTACTCTACAAGTAAATATGACATAAATCCTCTGATTTTGCTGTATCTATTCTTTATTCCAATCTGATCTCCTTTCCTTTCAGAGCGACGCATGTGCCGATTGGTGAGGACAACGTTCAACACTTGGAATTGGCTCGTGATATTGCTCAAAAGATTAATAAATTGTATAAACAAGATATCTTTCCTTTACCGCAACCTATCCTTGGTGGGAACTTTCCATCGTATGAACTTTAATTATAGCTAACAAAACTAAACTACAACTTATGCTTATGATTCATTTTTTATTTTAAAAAATAGCACCAGCAAAACGTATAATGTCTCTCCGTGACCCTACCAAGAAAATGTCAAAGTCAGATCCACTTGAACAATCGCGCATAAACTTGAATGATTTACCATCAACAATAGCCTTAAAAATCAAAAAGGCAACAACAGACACTATTAAAGGTATCACATATGACCCGGAAAATAGACCAGCCATCTCAAACCTAGTCACTATTTATGCTGCAGTACAAGGAGTGGACGTTGAAGAGATAGTTGAAGAACATAGTGCAAGTGACACAATGAAATTTAAAGAAGCATTAACGAATGTTTTGATAGAAAAATTGACACCATTACAGAAAGAAATTGAACGGTTAAAAAATGAGCACGGTTATGTGCAACAAGTATTACAAGAAGGAAATGAGAAAGCATCTTTGATAGCAAATAAGAACTTAGACGAATTATATAAACTTTTTGGATTAAGATGAATTCTTTCGATCCCGTGGATGAATTATAATTCTGAGTAACGCGAAATTGATGGTTGTTTAATACCTATAATAAAATTGATCACAAAGCTCTATACAAAGAATATTATTAAGATCCAAAGAGTATTATTAAAAACGCTAAAGATTATCTTTGGCGAATTTCAAAATTCGGATTAATTTAATTGTTATAAGCAATGCCTCAAACTAGGTTTTGATAATAAGTGTATCAGATTTTTTTAGTTTCGCAAATTAATTAAAAAGAAATAGAGGATTAAATAACAATGGATGTACTTCAAAGAACTTCATTCTCATCGTAGAATTCCGAATAAGATTTTTGTAGTACTACGATGATAAAAATGAACTACTCCGGAATACTCCTTTCTATAATAATGTAGAGTACTGTCTCATTCTTATACAACATTGTGCAATAATTCAAATTATTATATGCAGTATCAATTTTATATATAAACATTTGTAATTTATTATATCTTTTATTTTATTATATTGCTTTTATTGTTTAACAAAAGATTCTACACATTTATATATATATACAGTATGTAACAAAACTTTTTGGAATTTTTTAAAATACATATTTTTTTGTTTATAAATTAATAAAAAATTATTCAAATTATTTAAAACTTTATAATATATTTTTTAAAGCATAAATATAA